GGTAATCTTTGCCCTTTCTAACCGTAGGATAAGATAGGTTAGCACCATCTAGAAGGACAATTCATTTGTGAGGGTAATCTTTGCCCTTTCTAACGATAGGATAAGATAGGTTAACACCATCTAGAAGGACAATTTATTTGTGAGAGTATAAAGCTTTGTCCTTTCAAAACATATTTGTGAGACTAACCTTTGTCCTTTCAACCGGTAGGCGGATAATGCATAGGTTAATACCGTCTAGAAGGACAATTCATTTTTGAGAGTAAGCATCGATCGGTCCTTTCAACTGGTAGGATAACATAGGTTAATATCATCTAGATGTAATGTTTCAAATACGAGTTGCTGTATTCTAATGCGGCGGTTTCAAAATCCGAGTGGAATTTCAAAAAATGCCGAGGTGTAGCCGTAGCCCAATAGAGTACAGTGACGAGTATTTGACAGTACATGCAGTCAATGGTCATTAACGTTGTCCACCGAAAAAACACATTTACACATTTACGCATTTACACATTTAGACTAAAAGATATATCACGTGTTTCATTATGTATTCTTTGCCTCGTGTGCATCAGCCTGAACTTTAAATGTAAAATTCAACTCGTGAATCGAAAATCCAGAATGCCCTGACCACTTAGTGAGGATTTAAGATGGAGAATGGTATTTCAGCGTTTGTTTTATGCCAGAACATTCGAAGAAACACGTGATATTTCTTTTAGTCTAAATGTGTAAATGTGTAAATGTCTAAGTGTGTAAATGTGTAAATGTCTTTTTTTGGTGGACAACGTTAATGACATTGACTGTATATATATTATACATTATACTCTTGGTAAAGTGAATATTTCTTAGACACTGAAATGAGGCTAACCTTGAGTAAATGAGACTATAATCAATTAACACAGCGGTATTTCATGAAATGGAAAAGAGTTAACGTCATTCCATACCACAGCCACCGCTGTATACAATTATCACTGACTCATTTGTACATATATTACTTAGTAATATCGAGCTAGCTTAGTAAAGCCTGAATGAGTTCAAAAATAGCGTAACCCTATATATTCATCTTGATCTTACTTATACGTTTTCTAATCATATTCTACAGCCCTACAACACGCGTTGTTTACAGTAACTAGCTTTTGTTTTGGCTAAGAATGAAACATCTATATGCTGAACTTTTCTGAAAGAGCCGTGGCTGATGTGCTTTAGTTATTTTATTTTCTTAAATTGTTGCCCTCAGAACAGCTCAGAAAAACACATTTGAGTTCAAATTAAAGCGGCTTTATACTTGAACAAGACAATGGGTTATTTCTTATTAGTTAAGCATTTTCTTTTTCGAGTTGCAAATGATTACTACACGTTTTGCGAATGTTACGAGTAAAATGGCTGCCTTTTATAAAACGGGATTCATATAAATGACGTATGATATGGGTAAATAGGCCATTAATGGGCCATTATTAGCGAGTGCAAGGCCTTCTAGCATGTGGCCAAACATGGCTAAATAACGTTATATTTGTATCATATATCCTCTAACATGTGGCTGGTTTTCTCAGACTGGTTTGGTTCGTTTTAAATAAACACAATTAGCTTATCGTTACTCTATAGTTTTGCCACTATATTCAAGTGCGCAACTGCTTTCGTAGCTTCATTTTCTTCATGGCAACGACTGCAAACTCCTTCAGACCATTTCAGGTTTTGAAACAAAATAAGTTATGGGAGTCAGTACGTGCCTGCAAGCCAACAAACACACATCTACACCGCGACCTCAAACTATCGGTCTGCATTCGGTCTGCAGATACAACACTTTTTGATGCTTGATACGGAATACTAGATATATATTGCAGTCTTCCCTCCCTATAAGACGAACCYTTGCTCACTCATGTCCTTCAAACTAACTTTCCTAGACGTACCTTTAAACTTCCCAGTCTGAATACTCCATTTTGAGCAGAGACTGTTTCTCTTCGTATTTTAGGCTCGATAAAAAGCAAAGGACAATAGACTCTCCCCGACAGCAGGTAATCCGTGCCTGTATACTTTTCTGAATCAAGTTCATCTTACGATTCTTATAGACACCTTGCAGCGATTCACAGCAGAGCCGCTCGCTTTAGACAACAAGACAATGACACGATTCTCATGAGAGTAAAACTTTATTGTCGTGTCTTGCAGGGGGTCTATGCTCTTTTTTTCGAGTTGAATATTCCCCGTTACACTGTCTCTTTCCCTTTTTTGTTTTGTTGATCCTAGGCTGTGATAGAGACATAGTATCAATAAATAATCCAATTTCGTTCGCTGAATCGTCTAATTATCTTTTGGACGAGAAGCGGAAGAGTTTCCTGACGATTAACCAATCAGAACCCTTGGTATAATTAAAAGCCAAGCAAGAATGTTCTGTTTTTCTGTTGTTTAAGTAAGTCGTGATACAGATGTCTTAGAAAATGAAAACAGCTCAGGAAGCAAGTATCATGTTTATCGCTCATCGATGAATCGGTGTACATGTGGCAATAAAACCGCAGATCAAAAATTAGTCATTCTGACTCCTTCGCCCCCACTCACCCCTCCCCCAGTAAATCAACCCGCTCAAAAATGATACGTGCTAAAAAGCAGAGTGCGATCGTACAATCTCTTATTTGTATTCAAAGTTAGAAGAAATAAAGTATGGTTGTATGGCAGTGATTAAAACCATGGTGTTGATGGTTGGATCTCTCGACCCCATGACCATTTCAGCAGTTTTTCAGCAAGTCTGGAAAACAGCATTTGCCAAAGAGTTTGGTACCAATATGAAAAGTTTCAAGCGAAAGGATTCACTTTTACTTTTTGTCTCATTCAAGGAAAATGAAATGTTTTCTTTATGAATTTCAGCTCATGATCAGCTCACTTCAATATTGCCGTCTACAGTTTGATTGAAGGCTCTGGCAATGTTTACAGGTGAACTTCAAGTACTAATTATTAGCTTATGCATATAAATGATACGTAAAGATAAATATCCTTCTTTTTTATCCAGTGGTCAGCTGGGTTGGACTCTTGATCACTACACACTCCTCTAAGACTCGTCCCTGATATTCGCTGCTCTAATGGTGAGTAAACACGTACATCATTTCTAGCCAAATACTAAGACGATTCATAATTTTAACGAAAACTTCATAAGATATTTTCAAGGCATTAGAAACACCGCTTTTTTTCAGATTCTAGTTTATAGCATTGCGCCATTCCCCTCGATAGTTAAAAACTGTTCAGTTTCCTTTTTCGTTTTTGAAAAACCAGGGCACGAAAAGCTACGAATTTAGATATTATATGGATATGAATATATGAGAATTCGCTTACGCAGAAAAAATGGATAAAAAGATTTAAGGTGTACGTTCCAAATCTCTACTGCTTTCTACCAAATGAATCAGAAAAAATACCCTTTGAATTAGATACACGAAATGCTAGTCTAAGGTTCTTGTAAAAATCTAAGGAGAAAAATTCCCAAGTGATTTTAGTAAAAAGCTTTGGTTGTTGGCATAACGCGTACATCATTGCGTCAGCTTGAAGTGAGTGTCATATCAAAGTGGTGCTTCCTCAACGGCCATTTATCTTTCCATTGTTAACAATAAATTGTTGTCATTTTCTAGCTTTAAACTTTTCCTGCAGCAATAACCCATGTCATATTTTTCTATTAAAATCATGTTTTTTACTTTATTTATTAAGACTTCGCGTCTGGCTTCCTGTGAGAGGATTTCCTATTCATTGTTTGTGCCGGAAGAATGTAAGCGATGCGGTCAGATTGGAATATAAAATGTTCGGAAATTCTCCACGTTAGCCGAGCGCGGGAACGCATGAATTCTTGAGCACTGATATAAGCATACGTTACATCCAAAGATATATTTTCTCGGGAATTTTAGTTGCGTGGTTTGTTAAACTAACCCCTTTAAGTTTCTTGTAAGTTCGGGTGTGTCTGGAACGGATGAATTGCTTGCACGAGTTTTACTACAATGACAACATTATGCACACATCTACACTAAGAAATAAGTTTTATCCAGTGGCGAAACACGAAGACGATAGACAACTGAAAACAAAATAAATTACAATTAAACATACTTTAGCGATAACAAAAACTAAAAAAACGGGCATGCGGATACTTCAGAGTTTATTTAAAAATTATTGTGTTGTTGAGTCCTAGTAGGTCTTTAGGATTTAATTAATTCAGAAAATCAAGTTGAGCTATCTTTAGATAGACTACTGAGTACTCTAAATATGCGAACCGAAGAATGTTGATAATCAGTAGCGTTGGTAAGAAAAGTTAGGCTGGCTATCGATTGAATTTATTATATTGTCCCACACTCTATTTTTCTAATTTGTTTTGCTCCCTTCGTAAGGGTCTAAACTCGATCCCAGAATCAGAGTCCGTATATTAGATAACTCTTTGTGGTTTTGATAAGTCTTTACTCTCTTTAAAATAATTCCAGTGTTTGTTTAAGTCGAGCTTATTCTTAAAGCGAAGTTGGTTTTGATTATGACCTCTAATTTATCAAACTCTGCGTGGCTATTAGTCGATCATTAGTCGGATCGATTGTATTGTCTGGTTACACAACATGACTCTACTCATGTTCTAGTGGCATAGTTACGATACATCTGGTTGGGCTTATACACACTTTCGAAAAGAAAACCTTTACTAAGAAAAATATCTCAAATAAACTTTGATTCACTGATAACACTTTCCAAATGTGGAGGCTAATATCGCAGCGGCGCAGGGCAAGGTTGTATCTGGTGGCTGGTCATAGTTGCCAAAGGACAACATTGGACTGTTATAGAAGTATGCAAAGTAAAAAAAAGGTTGGTTAATTTAGCAAATACTGACAAATACAATTAAACCGAAACACGTTTTTGCGTAAACAGGTAATGGTGCTGTTGAGACTTTTATTTCAGAATAAATCTAAACAACAACAAATATTCTGAATAGCAAATCCCAATAGAAACATAGCTGATTTTGCCCGAATGGGTTCGTTCAAACGACTTGAATTTTGAAGTCTTTCCAAGTTCTATCAAGATAAAAGTCATTAACAATACTGATTTTGCATGGATTCTTAAAATAACTGGGGGAAACTGGCTTGATAGACTGCCAAAAAGACCACAAATGTAATGAGGCTAATTAATAGTTCATAGTTGTTGTTTGGGCTCTCCTTTTCTATAGTTCAAATAATGACTTTCTTCCCAGAATCAGTATTACATTAACGAATATATATACATTAAAGCTTATTAAGCACAATGCCAAACCTTGAAATAAAGAAATACTAGCTTATTAGTGCTAAAAGGTAGCATTTACGCAATAGAAACAAATGGTTTTGCACAACCTTTGGTATCCAGAATATATGTATGCATCTATAAACGTAAACCAAGGTAATGAGATGTTCAAATGGTAGAGTGTTCTTGTAGGATGACATCATTGTTGAATAAAATAAGGTATTTTATCGTATGGATATTTTATCCATTTTCTTCTGGCTAAGCACTCATCATCAGGGATATGTAAAATGCATATAAACGCCAGTAAAATAATAGACAGTAATGCACGAGGGTGGTGTGATAGTGCGCAAGGGTTTGTGAGATGATGGATAAGAGGAATAGGACACGTTAGTCTAATGCACGAGGGTGGTGTGATAGTGCGCAAGGGTTTGTGATGGGATGGATAAGAGGATAGGACACGTTGATCTAATGCACGAGGGTGGTGTG